TTGAAGTTCCATTGGTAATCATCTCCATGATTAAGCAAACGATGATACCCCAAGTCATCGTCTTTAGACTGACAATGCACAAGCAGCCCAAGTTTGCTTAGCCCGTTAACCACATGAATGTAATATCTAGAAGGTCCTGGTGGTGGTAACGTGACCCTTGAAACATGAGCCCCAACTAAGCCACCATGAATGGAAAGAAAACGACAATATTCTTTATCATTTCCTAATCAACCTTCAGCTTAACTACCAATTTGTGTTGGACATGTGAATAAATATACTTATAGTACATGCAAGAAACTACGTAAATGCATGCTATGGTTGTAAAAAACTTAATCATTTAACTAATTTCGGTTATTTATTAGATTTTCAATAACAAAATTCCTTGAATAGATAATAGTTATAAGTCCAAGAACAATAAATATTTCATTTATTTTTAAAACACTTTCATAAAATGGACAACAAAATATGAATACTTTCCCGTAGAAAATATAAAATAGAGAAAGCAATTCATAGATTACATATGGTATAGCACCCAAGTCCAACAAGGTACTAAATTCCGGATTTATTTTTTTAAGTTGAACTTTCAAACTTTTTAGGAGGACCTTTGAAATTTTAAGGTGAGGTAGAATAGATCAGTTCAAAAAATTCTAGAACTATAGTTTCAAATAGGAATTGCGCAAGACTTCTTTCGTAAGAATTACTCAATGCCTGTTGGGAGAACAATTATGGGGTTTTGATTTCATCATGTCACACCCTGAATCTCTAGGAAAAATTTTGCCAATCAATGTGTATAAAATAAGAGAGAAATCAAAATGTGTATTAATATATGCCAAATGCATCTAACGAGGGAAGGGGGAACGAGATACATGATTCCCTAGGTCCATAATTCCTCTATTACTTCTAAACTCTAGAGTACCCTCTCGTCACGATTAAGCAACCTACTTGTAGTCTCTCATCACATCCTTAACCTAGCAGAAAACCAATTATTTACTTTTGTACCTAGAGTTTCCACACTCTTGATACAAAGACCCGGGCAGAAAACTTAGCCTTCGCAATTTCCCCACCTTGTACCATTGCAAAGGCTAACTGGTGAACCTATCCCACAGGCCATGAAGTAACCTATGGTGAGGGAGTGCTACCCCTCGGTACATGGCACCTAAACAAGTTACTCATATGATCAACGGCCTTTCATAGGACGGATCCTACGTGCAGGGTAACTACTACCTAGCCTCGTGATTAATGTCCTAAAACACGATGTGTCCACAATGCAGTGTAGTCGATCTATCACTGAGTAACAAGCCTTAGACACAGAATTGTCAGGTATTTGGCTAGTGCCGTAAATCCTAAGGGGAGTGTCTTGGAGAATAAATCAATAACAGAATAAATACCTAGAAAGTATCAAGAACAAGAGAAAGATCTAGGTCTAGAACATGGATCAAGACCCTAGTTCTAAGTAAAAGAACAAAGAACCAAGAACCATGGTACTAAGGCCCTTAAAGGATGACAAAGGTTTTAGAATCCAAGGACCAAGGTTCTTAGAATAAATTACGATAAGAACCCGAAGTCAAGAACAAGTGGGCCTAAGTACTTACAAAAAGAAACAAGAACAAGACAAGAAAGAGTGTTGTATCCTAGCATATCAACGATATGATTGAGAGCCTCTTTCTTTTTCTTTCTTTCTTCGATTTCATTTTCCTGTCTCCCGAAGACAAAGACCGAAGGTACCCCACTCAAAAAATGAAGGTCCTCAACTCCAAAAATGAAGGTCCGCCACTCGAAAAACGAAGGTACCCCACTCCAAAGACTGAAGGTACCCAACTCCTAAAATGAGGGTCTGCCACTCCTAAAACTAAGGTCTGCCACTCGAAAACGAAGGTACTTTACTCCAAATTCCTAAGTTTGCGCGCTCCAAAAGCCTGATTCTGTCTGTGTAATAAGAATTGTGGGTTATAAGGTTTTGTGGGTAATAAACAATGTTTATTACACAGCAAACAGTCGATTAGCCACTCCAAAAATACCGAAGGTGGGTTATAAGGTTTTGTGGGTAATAGGCTATGTATATTACACAGAAATGCAATAATCCGCCACCACAGCAAAAAGTCAATACACCACCACTCCAAAAAGAGTGAAGGGGTGCCACTCGAAAAAGAGTATCCTGCCCTCCAAAAGCATGAATCGGTGCTGTACACCACTCCAAATGAGAGTCCTTTTGTATAAACCCCTATCCTAAAGTGAGATTCATTCAGTGCTATTTCACCCGATCCAGTCTCTCGAGGGTCTGTCAAGAGTAATACAAAGACCTAAGGGAGCCCACTCCAACGGATTATGTCGGTGGAATATCATCCGTCTTCTTCTCATTCTCATCCTTGGTAAAGACAGTATAACTCTTCCAGCAAAAATTATAGTGCCTGTTCATTTTTTCCAGGTGTCTCAACCATGTGGTGATCCAGTCTCCTCCAGCATTTGATCTGAGTAAGGAACTGCGGTTTCAATTACCTTATCTGGAGAACGGCGTAAATAGAGGTCACCACCGGTCTATCTTTCAATGTTTCACTGGTCTATCTTTCAGTGTTTCGTCTATCGTGGGATTATTTCATTAAGTTGATATAACTAATGCGCCACTTCACATGAAACTGGACCACAAGATTATTTGATAGTAGAGAAAGAGAGATAGTAGTCGAGTACTTGTGTTTGGTTGTACTCGTAAAGTGTAGGATTTATTGTATAGTGTTGTGTTACTAAACGTCATACCGCAAGTGCCCCACTCCACAAGCATGATGCTGTCTCCGATCGGGAGGAAACAATCGGAGTAGGCGAAGGTGAAGGTGCCACACTCCAAACATGATCATGTCTACGATGCAATCTCATCGGAGTCGGAAATATAGGAAGGTGTTAAGGAGTAAGGAGTAAGGCATTCTTTGGTTTGAGTTATATGTGACTTTGTGTAAGTGTGTGTGATGAGTAAGTTGAGTAGTACTATTCGCAAATAACTTACCATACTTATAAATTATAAAAACTACTACTTTCTGAACACATAGTCCTTTTCAAGGACCACCAACAAAGAAAGTCGGACTACTCCACTTACTCATCATTCACACTTACACAAACTAACATCTAACTCAGACCAAAGAATCCCTTACTCCTTACTCCTTAACACCTTCCCATATTTCCGACTCCGATCCAAGTTGAGATGGGTATCGGAGACAGGATCATGCTTTTGGAGTGCGGCACCTTCCACTGTTCGCCTAATCCGATGGTTTTTGGTGTGTTTACCATCGGAGACAGCATCATGCTTGTGGAGTGGGGCAACTGCAGTATGACGTTTACTCTTTAGAGATATAATAAGCTCCCACCTAATGAGTAGTCTAATGCACGGAATCAGGCAGCTGGACTCATGTACAATCGGGATGACACGACCTCCATTCCGGTGTGCAGGATCCTCTTTTTGGAGTGGTTACAAACCACGATAATAATACGGGTGAGTTATCCTCT